CCCAAAAGAGGTGGGATTTTTTTTAGTTCAAACTCCTCAAATATTTTAAGTTGGATAATGAAGGGTATGTGTACCAAGTCTGATCTAGATAGGTCAAGCCATGGAGGAGCCTTTCTGGTACAACCAATAAATATATAGATAGATGACTGTAGATGTGAAGAAGGAAATAATGGCCCCTTCTACACAGTTGAATAAACTCCCACATTATCTGCTTTGAGCTGGGATACATAGCACTGTACTCAGGGCCTTTCCACACAGTCGTATAACCCAGGGGCCTTCCACACAGCCCTATATCCCAGAACATTAAGGCAGAAAATCCTACATTATCTGAGTGTGGACTCAGATAACCCAGTTCAAAGTAGATTCTGCAGGATATTCTGCCTTGATATTCTAGGATATAGGGCTGTGTGGAAGGGCATCCAGAAGATCAAGGCAAAAAATCCCACAATATCTGTCACACTGCCATGTATTCCAGTTCAAAGCAGATAATGTGGGATTTTATTCAGCTGTGTGGAAGGGGCACCAGAATATCAAGGCAGAGTAACCCAGGGTCCTTCCACACTGCCCTATATCCCAGAACATCAAGGCAGAAAATCCCACATTGTTAGGCGATCCCTCGTTGGACGAGTAGGATAGTCTTCCATGATCAGTATTATTGTGGATCCATAGGAGGCTGTGGAGCCCTATTCTTGACCTGCATCTTCTCCCACAGTGAGGGCATTGGTTTCCAGGTGGAAGGTAGTCTCGGTCGGGGTTGGCTTGACGCGCCTTCCTCTTGGCACGTTTCTCTCTTTCACCCTCCATTTGTGCCTCTTCAAATTCTGCAGCACTGCTGGTCACAGCTGACCTCCAGCTGGAGCACTCAAGGGCCAGGGCTTCCCACATGGGCCATCCATTCCAACCCCCTGCCATGCAGGAAAAGCACCATCAAAGTATCCTTGACAGGTGGCCATCCAGTCTCTGTTTAAAAACCTCAAGGAAGGGGCTTCCACCACACTCCAAGGCAGAAAGTTCCACTGTCTATGCCAGAGTTTTTAAGGCTGGCTTTGAGCCCATCTTTAAATCTCTTTTCCTGTCCACCAACATTCCATTTTCCGTTCTTGAGTTCGGAGTAGAGCAACTGCTTTGGGAGACGGTGGTTGGGCATCCGGACAACGTGGCCGGTCCAGCGGAGTTGATGGCGGAGGACCATCGCTTCAATGCTGGTGGTCTTTGCTTCTTCCAGCACGCTGACGTTTGTCCGCTTGTCTTCCCAAGAGATTTGCAGGATTTTCCGGAGGCAGCGCTGATGGAATCGTTCCAGGAGTTGCATGTGACGTCTGTAGACAGTCCACGTCTCACAAGCATATAGCAGGGTTGGGAGGACAATAGCTTTATAGAGAAGCACCTTGGTCTCCCTACGGATGTCCCGGTCCTCAAACACTCTCTGCTTCATTCGGGAAAATGCTGCACTTGCAGAGCTCAGGCGGTGTTGTATTTCGGCGTCAATGTTGACTTTGGTGGAGAGGTGGCTGCCAAGGTAGCAGAAATGGTCCACATTTTCTAATGTTACACCATTAAGCTGTATCTGGCATTGGAGAGGGATTGGCTGGTGACTGCTGGAACAGCACTTTGGTTTTCTCGATGTTCAATGACAGGCCGAGATTCTCGTGTGCTTCTGCAAAGGTGTTTAGATGAAATAGATGAAAGATGGAGAGCCCTTCCACACAACCCTATACCCCAGAATATCAAGGCAGAAAATCCCACATTATCTGCTTTGAACTGGGTTATCCGAATACACACTCGGGTAATGTGGGATTTCCTGCCTTGATACTCTGGCACATAGGTCTGTGTAGAAGGGCCCTGGAGACGAAGGCTAACCATTTTGACTTTGCATTGTCGAAGGCTTTCATGGCTGGAATCACTAGGTTCTTGTGGGTTTTTTCGGGCTATATGGCCATGTTCTAGAGGCATTTCTCCTGACGTTTCGCCTGCATCTATGGCAAGCATCCTCAGAGGTAGTGAGGTCTGTTGGAATAGGAAAATGGGTTTATATATCTGTGGAATGACTGGGGTGGGGCAAAGAGCTCTTCTCTGCTGGGGCTAGGTGTGAATGTTTCAACTGACCACCTTCATTAGCATTTGAAGGCCTGGCTGAGCCTGGGGGAATCTTTTGTTGAGAGGTGTTAAGATGTGCCTGGTTGTTTCCTCTCTGCTGTTTTGCTGTTGTAATTTTAGAGTTTTTTTAATACTGGTAGCCAGATTTTGTTCATTTTCATGGTCTCCTCCTTTCTGTTGAAGCATGTGGACAATTTCAACAGAAAGGAAGAGACCATGAAAATGAAAAAAATCTGGCTACCAGTCAGGGCCGTAGCCAGAAAAAAAATTCGGGAGGGGTTGAAATTTTGGGGGGGGGGGGGTGAAACCTGCCTCCTAGCTCACGCTGAAGCAAAGAGCACAGCAGGGGGCAGAGCAACCTTCAATAGCCTGCAGCTCCACCCTGTCAACCACCTCCACCAAGTCTGGCCTCCTTAATTTATCATTCAACACCCCCCCCCCCCCAACTTGGTTGCTTCACTACATCGGCTATTGCTGCAAGTAATGACAGTGTGAATAAATTGTCAATATTTGCCTGAGATAGTGCTTGCAGTTCTGGAGGGACTCTTAATTTTTTGCATCTCATAGACTTAGCATGGGGATTTGGTTAACCAGTTAAAATTCATGAGTAAACCAGGTTTTTTAAAAAAATCTGAAACATTTCGGGGGGAGGGGGTTGAACCCCTAACCCCCCCCCCCCCCGCTAAATCTTGCTACCAGTATTAAAAAAACTCTAAAATTACAACAGCAAAACAACAGAGAGGAAACAACGGACATCTAATCACCTCTCAACAAAAGATTGCTCCAAGGTGTTCAGTTGAAACATTCACACCTAGCTCCAGCAGAGAAGAGCTCTTTGTCCCACCCCAGTCATTCTCTTGTCTGTTGGAGCTAGGTGTGAATGTTTCAATAGAATAATAGAATCATAGAATCAAAGAGTTGGAAGAGACCTCATGGGCCATCCAGTCCAACCCCCTGCCAAGAAGCAGGAATATTGCATTCAAATCACCCCTGACAGATGGCCATCCAGCCTCTGTTTAAAAGCTTCCAAAGAAGGAGCCTCCACCACACTGCGGGGCAGAGAGTTCCACTGCTGAACGGCTCTCAGTCAGGAAGTTCTTCCTAATGTTCAGATGGAATCTCCTTTCTTGTAGTTTGAAGCCATTGTTCCTTGACTTAATCATGGAAGCAGAAAACAAGCTTGCTCTCTCCTCCCTGTGGCTTCCTCTCACATATTTATACATGGCTATCATATCCCCTCTCAGCCTTGATTAGCATTTGATTGCCTGGCAGTGCCTGGGGCAATCTTTTGTTGAGAGGTGATTAGATGTCCTTGTTTGTTTCCTCTCTGTTGTTGTGCTGTTCTAATTTTAGAGTTTTTTAAATACTGGTAGCCAGATTTTGTTCATTTTCATGGTTTCCTCCTTTCTGTTGAAATTGTCCACATGCTTGTGATTGTGAAACATTCACACCTAGCTCCAACAGACAAGAGTCCTTTGTCCCACCCTGGTCATTCCACAGATATATAAACCCATTTTCCTACTTCCAACAGACCTCACTACCTCTGAGGATGCTTGCCATAGATGCAGGCGAAACGTCAGGAGAGAATGCCTCTAGAACATGGCCATATAGCCCCAAAAACCCGACAACAACCCGAGCTCTGGAGATCACCTGGGAAGGAATCCCACTGGAGCATTGCAGCGCACCCAAATACCTGGGAGTCACTCTGGACCGTGCTCTGACCTACAAGAAGCACTGCCTGAACATCAAGCAAAAAGTGGGTGCTAGAAACAATATCATACGAAAGCGGACTGGCACAACCTGGGGATCACAACCAGACACAGTGAAGACATCTGCCCTTGCGCTGTGCTACTCTGCTGCTGAGTATGCATGCCCAGTGTGGAACACATCTCACCACACTAAAACAGTGGATGTGGCTCTTAATGAGACATGCCGCATTATCACGGGGTGTCTGCGCCCTACACCACTGGAGAAATTACACTGCTTAGCCGGTATTGCACCACCTGACATCCGCCGGGAAGTGGCAGCCAATAGTGAAAGGACCAAGGCAGAGACATCTCCAGCTCATCCCCTGTTTGGGTATCAGCCAGCACGTCAACGACTTAAATCCAGACATAGTTTTCTTAGATCTACAGAGACACTCGCTGGAACACCCCAGCAAGCGAGAGTCCAAAAGTGGCAGGCCCAAACCCAGCACCTCAATTCATGGGTGATACCAGATGAGAGACTCCCCCCTGGGCACACAGAAGACTGGGTGACTTGGAAGGCGCTGAACAGACTGCGCTCTGGCACCACGAGATGCAGAGCCAATCTTAAGAAATGGGGCTACAGGGTGGAATCCTCGGCATGCGAGTGCGAGAAGAGCAAACCACTGACCACCTGCTGCAATGCACCCTGAGCCCTGCCACATGCACAATGGAGGACCTTCTTGTGGCAACACCAGAGGCACTCCAAGTGGCCAGATACTGGTCAAAGGACATTTAACCAAATACCAAATTTGCAAAATCTGTGTTTTTTTCCCTTTTTCTTTTTAATCTGTGTGTTTGTTTTGCTCTGTTAGAATTGTAATACAATGGTTGCTGATGACACGATAAATACTAGCTCCAACAGACAAGGGTCCTTTGTCCCACCCTGGTCATTCCACAGATATATAAACCCATTTTCCTAGTTCCAACAGACCCCACTACCTCTGAGGATGCTTGCCATAGATGGAGGCGAAACGTCAGGAGAAAATGCCTCTAAAACATGGCCCTATAGCCCGAAAAAAACCCACAAGAACCATTTTGACTTTACTTCCCAGAAGCCTTTGAGGCCTTAGACCCGCCTCTCTCGCCCTGGCTGTCTTCCGATTGGAAGAGAGGGAACATCTCCACCTATCGGCTATGACTTCACTTTGCGTGTCCGCCGGTGGGCGGGGCTTCGAGGCGGTTGCCTTGGTTTCCAAACCCCGCTGCGGCCTGGTCTGAGGCGAAGCCGGGCGCTCCGTTGGGGATGCTCGCTTTGGAGGGCGACGGAGAGTCGGGATGGAAGGCGAGAAGGTGAGCCGAGGATTCGTGGCGGGGAAGGGGTTCCTTTCTCTAGTATCCTTACACTCAAGCTTGTAACTCAAGGGAGGCAGGCCTGGGCCAACTTGGGCCCTCCCTCCAGGTGTTTTGGACTTCAACTCCAGCCATTCCTAACAGCCGCTGTTAGGAATGGCTGGAGTTGAAGTCCAAAACACCTGGAGGGAGGGCCCAAGTTGGCCCAGGCCTGGTCTAAGGCCATCCAGTTGGCTTAGAATAAGAGTTGGAAGAGACCACATGGGCCATCCATTCCAACCTCCAGCTGGAGGTCAGCTGTGACCAGCAGTGCTGCAGAATTTGAAGAGGCACTAATGGAGGGTGAAAGAGAGAAACGTGCCAGGGGGAAGGCACGCCAAGCCAACCCCGACCGAGACCGCCTTCCACCTGGAAACCAATGCCCTCACTGTGGGAGAAGATGCAGGTCAAGAATAGGGCTCCACAGCCACCTACGGATCCACAAGAATACAGTTCATGGAAGACTTTCCGAACGCATCTCCCTTTACGTCCCATCTCGGAGTTTGAGATCCTCTGGGGAGGCCCTGCTCTCGACCCCGCCTCTGTCACAAGTGAGATTGGCGGGGACGAGGAGCAGGGCCTTCTCAGTGGTGGCCCCTCACCTATGGAATTCACTCCCAGGGGAGATCAGATCAGCAACATCCCTCCTTTCCTTTAGAAAGAAATTAAAGACGTGGATGTGGGACCAGGCGTTTGGGCAATCTGGCAGATGGATAAGGGACTGTGACGATAGATAGGAACTGGACAAGGTAGAGCGAAATATGAATTCTGAGTTGGCGAACGCTGTGTCTGAGATTGGCTATTGATTGTGTGATATATTGTTGTTTTTAATTGTTTTAATTGTTGACCATTTAATTGCTGGTTTTATATGTTATTGTATTTGTGTAGGCACCAAGATGTGCCTTTTGTAAGCCGCCCTGAGTCCCCCCTCGGGGGTGAGAAGGGCGGGGTATAAGTACATGAAATAAATAAAATAAATAAATAAGACTATCTTACTCGTCTAACGAGGGATCGCCTAAGTAAGTAAGTAAGTAAAGTAAAGCAAAACATGCAGGAAAAGCACCATCAAAGTATCCTTGACAGATAGCCATCCAGTCTCTGTTTAAAAACCTTAAGGAAGGGGCTTCCACCACACTCCGAGGCAGAGAGTTCCACTATTGAACAGCTCATACGATCAGATAATTCTTTCTAATGTTCAGGTGGGTTCTCCTTGCCTGTAGTTTGAACCCATTGCTGAGTCCTTGTTTCCAGGAAAGCAGAGAACAAGCCTGTTCCCTCTTTATGACACTCTTTCACGTATTTAAACATGGCCCTCATCATGTCTTCTCTCAACTTTCTCTTCTGCAGTTTAGCCTGCAGTGTGCCTTCCCAGAATAAGTAAAACTCTCAGCAATATGCCCTCAAAATGCACTTTACCACTGATTTAGGATTGCCTGCGCATCTCTCTTTGAAAACCCTATCCCAGTTATATCCTACCTTGTTCATGCCCAGTATTATTTTTTAAATTTTAAATTATTACATTTGGCCCGGCCATAGGTTTTTAAATGCTTGTGTGTTACTGTTATTGTTTATTGTTTATTTTTTGTTTATGAGATTTATTTTAACTGTTTTGTATTGATTGTTTTGTTATTGCCTTTGTTTATTGATGTACTGTGGGCTTGGCCTCATGTAAGCCACACCGAGTCCCTTGGGGAGATGGTAGCGGGGTATAAATAAAGTATTATTATTATTATTATTATTATTATTATTATTATAAGACGCTCCTCATAAGGATTCGTGGTCTCCAAACTTTTGATCATTTTAGTTGGCCTCCTCTGGACACATCCCAGCTTCTCAGTATCTCTTTTGAACTGTGGTTGCGCAGAATTGGACACAGTATACCAGATGGGGTCTAACCAAAGCAGAATACAAAGACACCATTACTTCCCTCAATCTAGACCAGGGTTCCTCGGACCTTTAAAACAGAGGTCTAGTCATAATCCCTCAAACTGTTGGAGGGCTGGATTATAATTTGAAAAAACAACAACACATGAATGAATTCCTATGCACACTGCACATATCTTATTTGTAGTGCAAAAAACACTTTAAAAATACAACAATTAAAATGAAGAACAATTTTAACAAATATAAACTTATTAGTATTTCAATGGGAACTGTGGACGTGCTTTTGGCTGATGAGATAAGATTGTTGTTGTTTACTTTGAAGTAGTTTCAAACAGGTTGACCCTGAGCGAGGGCCGGGCAAATGACCTTGGAGGGCCATATCCGGTCCCTGGGCCTTTGTTTGAGGACTCCTGATCTAGACACTATACTTCTTTTGAGGCAGCCCAAATCCCATTGGCTTTTTAAAGCTGTTGCACCACACTGTTGGTTCAACTTGTTGTCCAAAAAGACTCCACAATCTTTTTCACATGGACTATCGTCAAGCCAGGTGTCACTCATTCTGTATCTGTGCTTTTAATTCTTTTCTGCCTAAGTGAAGTATCCTACTCTTCTCCTTGTTGAAATTCATTGTTAGTTTAGCCCAGCTCTCTAATCTGTTGAGGTCATTTTGAATTCTGATGCTGTCTTCTGGAGTATTAAATATCCCTCCCAATTTGATGTCAAATGTGATAAGCATGCTCTCTAAACCTTCATCTTAAGTCATTTATAAAGCTGTTGAACAGAACTGGGTCCAGGACAGAACCTTATGGCACTCCACTAGTCACTTCTTTCCAGGATGAAGATAAACTATTGGTGAGCACCCTTTGGGTTGGTCTCTTAACCAATTACAAATCCACTAAACGGTAATCTAATATCTAGCCTGCATTTCACTAGCTTGTTTGCAAGAAGGTCATGGGGGACCCGGCACAGAATTCTCTGTATCTACCAGTTTGTAACAGCTCTCCATGCAGTCGTGCCGGTCATATGACCTTGGAGGCTTCTACGGACAATGCTGGCTCTTCAACTTAGAAATGGAAATGAGCACCAACCTCCAGAATCAGATACGACTGGAATTATTACCAGGGGAAAACCTGTACTTTTTTTTTTTTTACCAAGCTTATAATCCTATTGAGAGGGCAGGGGGAGTTTCTCTTGTAATTTTGCAAGACTTTTCTACTAATAGAATCTTTAATCCTATTATGAGTGAATACATTTTATGGAAAAATGCATTGTTTTCGAGAATAATACACTGTATATATTTTTGGAGGCGCACACTGTGTATCTTGTTAAGTAGCCATAGGATTGGGCTACTCAGGATGGAGCACACTGGAGGAACAATGAAATGTATTTCCATGTAAGTGTGCCTTGTATTGCAGGAATGTAGGACTGTTTATCCAACCCAAGCTGAAAGACCTGTGTTTCTCCAAATGTTGCTTAGAGCATGTTGAACTTTGTGATGTCAAACTTTGGTCCAAGAAGTCCCATCCAGCCTCTCAAATAGTTAGGAATTCTGGGAATGCCAACTCTCTTATTTGCATTTTTATGTTACCTGATACTGTTGCCTTTGTAAGAAGGAATCAGAAAAGCAGTCACCCTCCAGACATTGTTGAACTCCAGTCCTTGTCAGCTTTAAATACCCTCACCAATGGTGAGGTATGATAAGAGTTTTAGTGCATCAGCATCTGAAAAGCCGAAGGTTCCTCAGCCCTGCATTATGGGATAAGTAGTATTTGCTAAAATGTAAACATTGTAGTTTTTCAGTAACTTGATGCTCTAAAAACAACTTCCAGATTATGAATGTCTATTCTCTTTTTTCAGAGAAGATCAAAAGATGATACTTGGAAAGCAGATGAACTAAAGAAGCATCTTAAGGTAACACATAATCCTCACTTATCACCATTATTACTTACGGAAAGGTTAAAAGTCAGGTACATTCTATCTGGGCCAAAACATTTACAGATATATTTTGACTGTAAATTTACAGATGTTTGTTTACAACTTTATAGGAATAGCAGGTCCCTGGGCATCCTGTGCCAGGTCTTAAACTGCTTTAGTTTCAGAAATAATTTACCTTGGGGTATATATCTTTGCTGTTTGGAAAATGAAAACGTGGCTGTATTAAACTAATTTGGGACTTTGAATCCCAACTCATCTAGCAATTATAATTCAAAGGATACCAGATTAATCTGAATGAATTTAAGAATGAAATTCAAAATTATTTGTTTGAGGTCCTATTTAAAGGAATATACAGATTTTTTTTCTTTGGCTAAGAGTTTGTTAATTGCTACTAACTAGTGGGTATTAATTAAACAAAATAAAATCCATTTTTTCTGCTAGTACTGGTAGATTCCTCAAACTGAAATGAGTGCCATGTGGGAGTTTGATTGCTTATAGCCATTATTATTATTATTATTATTAAATTTATATCCTGCTTTTCTCCCAGATTGGGACTCAAAGAGGCAAACAATATGTAAACAAAAAAAAAAAATTACAAACCTTATCTGCTCTTCAGAGCAACTTTTGCTTGTACTTTGATCAAGGGATGGTAGTATATTTTTTCTTAGATTTGCTTGTAAGAAAAAGAAGGAATGGGACAAGAGTGATTCAGAAGTAGTGTCAAACAGTGCATTAGAGTAAGTAAGTAATTTTATTTTTAAACCCCACCACCATCTCCCCTCAGGGACTCAGGCATGAGCCCAAAATCACAGATAAAATATAGCACATTAAAACCAATCAAGTAAAATAATAAAACAAAACACAATCAAAAGCTACATTGTCCGGTGCTAAGTCCCAAAACCTACTTTGCAGTCAGCAGAGGATCATGAGCTAAGATTGATCAAGCCTCATTATTTTTACATCATATCATTGTATATTTTAATATCTATATGTAGACTGACTCACTTGCTGTATTATTATATCTCTTCTGCCACTCCTACACAGTTGTCCACTCCTTCTGTAAATCCTTACTTTTTGTCATGTTAGCATGTTTATAGCTCTTAGAATCATTCTAGCTCCCAGGCTAATGTCTAAAAAGGTAAACCAGCCCCAGAAATAAAGAACCTGTTCTTCTTTGTCACAAAATGGAACCAAATGCTAAGAGGGCATTTAGAAGTTCATGGTTTGCAATCTTGAAATAAAAATGAAGTTATAAAGAATTTTCAGAATCCTTCATTCGCTGTAGCTTATAAAACTCTACATCCACAATGCACCAGAGACTTCACTGAACAAAAATAGTATAGAAACAATATTAGCTTCTCTTTTCAGACATCTCGATCAGATAGTCAGTCTGAAGACAGGAGGCATCGACAGAGGAAAGCACGAGATGGAGACAGACATGATGCTGATGATTACAAAGAGGGTACGCAGAAGGACCAAGACAAAGAGAGAGCAGCACTGAAAGAGAAAATGAGGTTTAAATCAAGTGAAAGGCACCGGGATGAAAAAAGAGAGAAAGTTAGAGAAAAAGAATATTCTGAAGGGCAAGAGAGAGAGAAAAATCCAGTGATTCATGAAAGATATACAAAAGAAGAAAAAAGTGGAGAGAGACACAGTGGTAAAGAGAAAGAGAGAAAGCATAAGAAAGAAGAGCTGGCACTTTTGGAAAATGTCATGAAAGCTTATGGGGAAAGGAGTAAAGAACATCATAAAAGAAGAGGGAGCAAGGATTATACAGGTACTTTATTGCTGTATTTATTTTGAAATAACCCTCCTGATGATTGTAGTTAATGATGAAAATAAACCCAAACCAATAATATTTGCATATGCAGGAAGGTTGAATAGCAACCTTTATTTTGGGATCTTCTAGAACACAGTTGTTCTTTACATTGCCTGCTTTGTAGAACTGAACTGTTTTAGTGAGATAGCTGCCTTAACAAGACAGAAGATACCTCAAAATAGGCATTCAAAGACATAATTTTTGTTAGTTTGGATCAAAAGGGTATTTTAAGACTAACGGAGGGAAAGCGAGGTTTGTAGCACAAGCCTCTGCTTCATCAAATGTGTTCTGTCTCCATTATTCTCATATCAGTACCCCATGAGAAATGTTGCACTGCCATTTTCCATCCTGTATACAGCATACCTACATCTGTAGGCGGTGGTCGAACTGACCCTTGAAGTGTATTTTGAGGATAGCGTGGGAAACTTTAAAAATGAACTAGTCAGGGAAAATTAAGTGGAATGTATTCTCACTTTATGCTTCTGGAAATTTCTTCTCTCAGAGTGTTATAGGAGGTTTAATACAGAAGAAATATGTCCATTAATTTGAAATATTTTGCAATTATAATTTGAAGTGTGAGACATTTTGGAGGTATGTTGAGTACAGTGTGTTGAACTACTATGGTATGGAAAGGATTAAAATGCACTTGCAATCTTACAAATGTCCTTATTTTTAGATCACCCAAAACTAAAAGGTGACGAAAGAGAGAGAAGACATACAGAGAGAAAGGTAAGAAAAAGGACAAGAGCAAGTTGTATTCCAAAAGTAATGGCCATAGCCAATTCATGGCTTCTCTATGAATTGGCTTTCATTTGTTCTCTTTTTTTTTTGAAGGAGGAATTGTCTTACATGAAAACATTTTTGTTTGTTCACTCAATATCTAAAGTTGTTGTATCAGAATGATATCAAGATTTCAGAGACATTAAACAGGCATTTCCGGATGTTTTGATGTGTGTGTGTGTGTGCTTTTTTTTTTTAAAAAAAAAACAAACAACTAATTAGGCACAATGCATCTTCAGTTTTGTATGTTTTACCACCAGAACTTTTGTTAGGATAGAACATATAAGCTTTTCTCATGTGGATTCAAGAGTTATTTGAAAGGGTTTTAAATTATACCTTTAATGTACTCCTGAAAATCCCACATGCAGCATCACCATAGTAAAGGTAAAGGTTTTCCCCTAACATAAAGTCCAGTCATGCCCGACTCGGGGTTGGTGCTCATCTCCATTTCTAAGCCGAAGAGCCAGTGTTGTCCGTAGACACTTCCAAGGTCATGTGGCCAGCATGACTGCATGGAGTGCTGTTACCTTTCCGCCAGAGCGGTTCCTATTGATCTACTCACATTTGCATGTTTTCCAACTGCTAGGTTAGTAGAAGCTAGGGCTGACAGCGGAAGCTCACAGTGCACCCCGGATTCGAACCTGCGACCTTTTGGTCAACAAGTTTAGCAGCTCAGTGGTTTAACCCACTGTGCCACGAGGGGCTCCACAGCATCACCATAAGCAAATACAAATATTTTGGGGGCACAGTGGTATAATGGGAAGAAGTAGACCAGGAGAGGAGCTGCACTAGTTCAAGGGAGGTTCATAGCTGTGTGTACGCTCTGACATCCTCTGCTTTTCAGCTTCAGTGAGCAAAGAGCAGTGATTCAGATACAAACAATTTAACTAATTCCAGTATTTGTGTAGTAAATGAGTTCAATTCGAATTTAGAATTATAGTCTTGACTTTGAGAAGTACCATTGACTTCAACAGTACTAGTAGTCTGTTTCAAGCTTGGTAAGTGTGTTAATACAATATGAGAAGATAGATGTTCCTCACAAATGAGTGTACTGGTACATTCTGCTCAATTGCTGCCAGTTATAGGTTGGCTCTGCAGCCAGTGATCTGTCAGGTGGGGGCACATTTCTTTTTCTTCTTTGTTCTTCCCCAGTGAACCACAGAAGCCAAGAACAAACTGGACTCTTTTTCTAAGAGAAAGAAAGCTTCTGGCAGGCAGATGATACATTAAACTCACTGCAGAATGAACCCTGTTGGTTTATTTAGTTTCTCCAAGAGTTGCAGCTTGCTGGCTTGCTGAGTGTCAACACACCCAATGTATTTCTGTCTTGTCTGGTCTACTAAAATGTTTTGAAGTATTAATCCCCCTTCCTGCTTCCAGAATGGGGAGAGGAAGAACAGTGTTGGTGAGGATTCAGCAAATAGACATGAAGAACGGGAGCATAGGCACAGACCACACAAGGAGCAAGACCCAGATAAGGAAAGAAGACAAAGGCATAAAGAGAAGAGAGAGCAGGAATTTGTAGCTGTTGAAGAAAAAGAGAAGCATTTGAAATTAAAGAGCTTTACATCTCTCAGAGATGGCGAAGAAGGCCATGTGTCAAGGAGACATAAAGAGCAATCACATCATGGCGGGAGACATCATCGGGAGACTGGTGAAAGTCAACAAAAAGAGGAAAGCGAAGAAAAAAAGAGGGATCACCACAAGGTTTGTTTTAAATAGATTTTCAATCAGCAAATGTAACATTTGTATGAGAAAGGATGCTCTATAAAGCACAGGTTTTTGACATCGTAAATAAAATTTCAAGAAACCGTTGATTAAAATAAAACATGGCATGATGACAGTTTTCCACAAAGTAAAATTAAGACAATTAAACAAACGTTAATTTACTGATCAACAAAAGTCTGTATAATTTCTCATTCTGTATTGGTTACATTTATATCCAATCTTTTTTGTTAGATTTTGGGATAACAGTATGAATTATTCAAAGGAATCTCGGTAAAATCTGTGTGTGGATTAGGACACCTTTTGTTTTTGAAGTAATGCTGTCCAATTTTGTTTCAGTAATCACACTTTTGTAGTTCTTTATTTTAGTTTGATGCTACAAACAGGCCATTAAAAAAACCCCCAAAACAACAGGTTTTTTAATTTAGGCTGAATTATATATGCACCATGACTTGGCTACAGACATATGCCTCAGACTATTATATTTGCCTTCTTCTGAAGCTGAGAAAGTGTGTCTTGCCCATGGTCATCTGGTGCATTTCCATAACCAAGCAAGGATTTGAACCTTGGTCTCCAGTGCTGTAGTCCCAACTCTCAAAACAATGCATTATGTTGGCTGTTCAGAACAGACTCATTACTGAATGGGAATTAATGGAAACTTAACTTAGCAAACCAACATTTCCATAATTTCTGTTACTTTGATTATTTAATAATAGATTCAGGCCATTATTTGACAGACAAAAGGCAAACTACATGAATTAGTGAATGGGAATGAATGGAAACTTAACTTAGCAAACCAACACTTCCATAATTCCTGTTACTTTGATTACTTAATAATAGATTCAGGCCATTATTTGACAGACAAAGGCAAACTACATGAATATTATTTAAATTTGTATATATGTGGAGCCAGAACTGTAATGTTCTTTGGAATTACTTTTGTAAAGATTTTAAACTGATTTTGAAAAAAAGGAGGAAGATAGTATGCCATAAGAATGCTGTGGATACAACCAGCAAGCAGTAGAAAAAAAAAGGAAAAAAATCTTGGTTTCTCAGTTTTTAGGCCTGTTCCTGAGCTTTTTGTGGGTGCGGATTCAGAAAATTGCATTGGACAGACTGCATCATCTCTAATTTCTTAGATATCGTTATCATGATTTTCTATGGGGGAACAGATGGTGACTGGCATATGGCATATGTCCTGTATCCCAAAAACTGGAGCTGATAGGGGGAAACTGGTGCCATTTTGGACTCAATAGATCCAATAATCCCCCAAAACAGGGCGAATGTTTGAGACACCAAAATGTGGTTGGCTTGCATAATCTCCAAAATTGTCTCCAGGCAACATAAGCTGTTTTTCAGTCATTTCATGCTTTTGTCTTGAATTCGAGGCAATCTATGAGTAATAGTGGGAACTTTTGAAATCACACGGCACTCTAGAAAATCCTTCGTAGTATTTAAATGCTGCAAGTCTTTACATTTTTATTTCATTTTTTTTTTTTGCAGCACGGTGAGCACAGAAGTCACCATAGAAGCTCAAGGCATGAAGGCAATTCAGACCATCGGCATGAGAGGTGTGCTCTATTAACATATTTGAGAAACTTTGGCTGTAATCTCATGCAGGCTAACAAATCCTATAGACTGGTGGAACAGACTTTCGAATAAATGCATGTAGGACTGCATTTTGCATTTTATCTGTGTCCAGTTCTCTTTGTTTCTAAAATATATTCCTAAGAAGGTACCTAGGCAGATTGCTTACATGTTCTTTCCTAGTAATAAAAGCCACATAGTATTTGAATGACTTCAGATATAAATTAATTAATAGTCCAGAGATGAGAAGTCTGAGAAAATATGTAAACACAACACACAGTATTTTGGAAGCACAACCATATTTTTAGACTCTGGCCCTGTACTGCTTTGGGAGGGATGAATCTATTCTTAGGCATCAGCATCTGCTTTTTTTTTTTTACGTAACCGTTTTGATGATTCATGTTGCCTCTCAGCCTCTCTAGACCAGCGTGACAACTGTATGGCTTCCTTTTCATGGTGCTTTATTTCTTATGCGGGCTGGTTTCAAACAAATGGATGTGTGTTACAGGATTATGTGATGTTGCTTTGTGTTCATTTACCAGTTTTCACTTCCTTGGCTCTCTTCTTATGATATGACCAAGTGGCAGACCTCTAATAGCCTCAGATAGCTTTTTGGTTTTTCAATTATTGGAAGTGAAGGATGATTTTGAAAGTTGGCCTAGCAGTCATGTCTAATGTGTTGTCGAAGGCTTTCATGGCTGTGAGTTTTCCGGGCTGTATGGCCATGTTGCAGAAGCATTCCCTCCTGATGTTTCACCCACATCTATGGCAGGCATCCTCAGAGGTTGTGAGGTCTGCTGGAAACTAGGCGTGGGCTTTATATATCTGTGGAATGTCCAGGGTGGGAGAAAGAACTCTTGTCTGCTGGAGTCAAGTGTGAATGTTAGAGCTAGCCACCTTGATTAGGACTGAATGGCATTGCAGCTTCAAAGTCTGGCTGCTTCCTTTGTTGAGAGGTGTTAGCTGGCCCTGATTGTTTCCTGTCCAGAATTCCCCTGTTTTTTTAGTGTTCCTCTTTATTTTCAGCCCTGATTTCAGATTTTTTTTTTAAATACTAGTAGCCAGACTTTGTTCATTTTCATAGTTTCCTCTTCTCTGTTGAAATTGTTTGGATGGCCTGGTACTTGAACTTGTCTGGGACTGAATGGCCCATGAGATCTCTTCCAACACAATTATTCTATGATTCTTTGTCCACATGCTTGTGGATTTCAGTGGCTTCTCTGTGTAATGTTGTTAGAGTAGTCCACCATTTCCGTGTTCTCAAATAACATTTTAGAAGGCTGACCAGAGCTCTTTAAGCAAGAGTTTATTTGTCATGTCTGTTTTTTCAATTCACAGATAATATATGGATATGTAGGAAATACAACTGGAAAATTGCAGTTCATTGTTGTTCCTAGAAATGTTGTACAACGAAAAGTGACATTTCTGTATATGAGGAGGAAATTACAAAGGAGCAAGGTGTTTGCAATCAGGAATGATTTAGACCTGTTCTGACCATAAACATACAGTTCATAGATATCTGAAAACTGAGATACACAGACTGCATATCACATATTACAGCGGAAATCGAGAAACATGAAGCACAAATCACTAATCCTTGTCCTCTTTTGCAATTTCTTAGCAAAGATGTGATGCACCTTTGTGATCCCCTTTTCTTGTGGCAACTATCTTCCTGTCTGAGCTTTTAATGCAATATAATTCTTTTCCTTTTAAAGGAGTGCTAAAGAAAAAGTAAAGAAACATGGCACGGGTGAAAGAGAGGACATAAAACAAGATGTAAGATGGTTGTATTTGGCATTTTTGAAGACTAGAATATTCTGGAAATTAGTAATACAGCAAAGAAGAAACAGAACTAAAGATGTACCTAACTGTAGAAATAATGCAGTTTGACATCATTTTAACTGCTATAGCTCAATGCAGTGGAATCCTGGGAGTTGTATTTTATGAAGTTTTTAAACTTTTCTGCCAAATAGTGCTGGTGGTTCACTCAACCACAACTTTCATGATTCCATAGAATTGAGCCATGACAGTTAAAGCAGTGCCAAGCTGCATTAATATTAAAATGTAGATGCACTCTTTGAAATGTTTATGTGTATATGAGATAGAGAGAGAGAGAACTGTTAATGTAAGGCATGCCCCAGCAGAAGATATGCACTTTCAGATCCTTTTTCTTTTGATGGGAGAGCTAAGTTGTATTTATATTTATTCACATTAAATTAATGGGAACTAAAAGTGCTTATTTGGATTGTGTGTGTATTACCTAAGGTTCCTGTCAGGTCCTGCATTCTGTGTATATTATTTGCAAATCATTTCAACAGCATTTGGTAGGCTTTACTCCTAAATGATGCATGATACTACCTTATTCAGAGAGACTGAAAGAGCTTTTTAAGGCAGCATTAAAAATATTAGAAACTGTTCATGCAGTCTTTTCCTATAGAGTGCTTTAAAATACTTGACATTATTTATGAAGATAAATTGAAAACCTTTAAAAGTAGTTTAATATCCAATAGACTGCAAATATTTAGCTATTATTTAAAAAACTAGCAGAGATAATCATTCTGGAATATACACGTGATGCAGACATAAATGATTATTTGAAATCACATGTGCATATTCAGAGATGTCAGAAATTTTCAGATAGATTAGCCTATGTCACTTCAACCATAGCAATTTCTTTTGGAAAGTAAAGTTAGTGGAAAAGCTTTAATGTAGGTATTAAGTCTCCAAGAGCAAACACAAAATAAAGCCTTGTATCTCCTTAAAGGGCAACAAAATTATTGTGATCTGAGGTTGCCAACTTCATAAAAGAGTGCTTTATCAATAGAAAATGTATATACTTGAGGCAAAAGGACATAAATAGAAAGCAAAGCTAATGTATATAAAGCAAGAATATTGATTATCCACAATATATGTGTTTGCTAAACAGTTATATCATCTAGATACTTATCCTCTGCTAACTTAATATTGTTTACTTAATATTGGTGGTGGAAAGAAAACCTTTGTCTCCATTAAATTTGAAATGAATAGAATCAAGGGGTGTATTTCTCATGACAATTCCAAAGTACCATTTCGACATCCTTTAAACCACTACTTTAAGATTTTCACACTGAATTTCTAGTTTCAGTGGTATTTTATATTTATTTGTTAGATTTTTATGAAGTTCCATTCATTTTGTTTGGTTGAATTGCCACATTTCAATGCTTTTCTCATATTAGTTTTGTATATTGATACGTTAGCACCACAAAGCTAATGACCTGTCAGCCATGGGACCAAGTCACAAAAGGCAAGCATCTGAAGAAGAAGAGCAAGAAGAAGAAAATGTAAGAGTTATGTCATTACAGTATTTTCTTAAGTGCATAGGTGTTTCAGATCTCTCTTGTTAAATACCTCCAGTTAATATTGTTAGCTATACAATTGTGTCATGATTTAATTATGTGTCATGCTGAACAGACTGCGCTCTGGCACCAGGAGCTGCAGAGCCAATTTTAAGAAATGGGGCTATAAAGTGGAGTCCACGACATGTGAGTGTGGAGAAGAGCAAATCACAGACCACCTACTACAATGCAGTCTGCCCTGCCAAATGTACAATGGAGGACCTGCTCACAGCTTCTGGTCAAAGGAAATTTAGCATAATACCAAGTTTTTTTTTAAAAAAAACAACAACTTTGTTTGTGTTTTTTAAATACAGTATAACTGTATTCTCAATTTGCTTCTGCCACGATAAATAAATAAATAAATAAATAAATATTCTATGTTTCTCTTGCTTACCAGGAAGTGAAGAAAGGTACTTCCTATCCAGATCCAGATCATGATTCTTCAACAAATTATGAAGATGATTTTGAGGTGGGTGCAAACCCATGTTTTTTTTTTACAAGACTTGAGGGATAAAAAAAATAAATACAGAGATGATGACAGAGGAATTTTAATTGATATGATATTGGTCATTTATGCATTTTGTCCATTTGAGACCGCTTGGTGGCACAGCAGGTTAAACCGCTGAGCTGCTGAACTTGCTGGCCAAAAAGTTGGCATTGGAATCTGGGGAGCAGGGTGAGCTCCTGCTGTTAGGCCCAGCTTCTGTCAACCTAGCAGTATGAAAACATGCAAATGTGAGTAGATCAATAAGTACCGCTTCTGAGGGAAGGTAACTGTGCCCCTTGCAGTCATGCCGGCCACATGACCTAGAAGGCGTCTATGGACAACGTCGGCTCTTTGGCTTAGAAATGGAGATGAGCACCAACCCCCAGAGTCGGACACGACTAGACTTAATGTCAGGGAAAACCTTTACCTTTTACTTATGGTTTGAGACAGCTCTCTGTTATGATACAAACAAAAATAACTTTACAGAAATTCAAAGAATGAGTCAGAATGTGTGTATGACTCAGTATTATTTACACTGACTGGCAGGAAATCTCCTTGTTTACAACTGAACTTGGGACCAATGTCCTATGGTCCTTCCTCAGAGCCTCGCTTATCTGTTTCTTTTATGGCTCTTTGACTCTAGTTCTCAGAGAAAGCTAAGTTTTCTTAATATCAGCTTTCACTTGAGGTACTGTTCAGGTGAAGATGCTATAAAAGAATGTTGTTTCCTTAACCAAACTATAGTAATGCTATTTGTACAATACTATTTTAGTATTTATGAGATGCCTTTCTTAATAATAAAAATGGACAATCTTTATTTTAAAGTCTTGCAAATGGTGAGAAGATCTGAGGTCTTTTCCTACTGGGAAGATCTGTTGCCTTGTAAAAGTCCTGTTTCTTTTTGAAGGATTATGAAGATGATTTTGATGATGTAGATGATGAAGATGATGAGGAAGAGGAAGATAATCAGGAACAGGAAAAGGAAGAAGGAGAAGCAGAACAAAGAGTAAACAAACCACTTATGGCCAAGAACACAGAAATTGAAGAAATTCGAAAAGCAATTTATGCTGAAAATGAAATGATTGGGAGCTTGCTACCCAAGCAGAGAAAGAAAGAATTTCATCCAAAAGAACCTGAAAAGAAACCAAAAATCGGTATGTGGCCAGACACTAGTTTTGGGTCGAAATTATGAGAGCAACCAATTTAGCTGTAAAGTCATTCTCAGGAAGGTTAAAGGAGCAACTCACAACCATCGGATTAAGCCCTCATGCAGGACTCGGTAAGGTTTAGTTAGGCTGTAAATGTTGAAGTTTTCAAGCTAAAGGAAACACAAGAATGTGCAGGAGTATAAAAGCAACATCACTGTCAAAACATCACTTTGCAACCAAAGTGAAATGAGAGCAGAACAGATGTTGAAAGAATAATTAATTCAGAATACTATTGTGGGCTGAGAAATGGTTGAATTCTTTAACAGCAGCTTTTTCTTAAAGCAAGAGATTTCTCAACCAGTTGGCAAGACTAGCATTTTTTAAAAAAAAAAACAAAGGAGGGAGAGAAGGGATGAAATAGTTTAGAATATTGATCTTCTGCCTTGATTGATTTATTAGCTAAAGGATTAACCTAAGGGTTGTGGATCGCTCCTTCAGCCTTTCTAGAATAGTGTTGTTGTTCATTCGTTCAGTCGTCTCCGACTCTTCGTGACCTCATGGACCAGCCCACGCCAGAGCTCCCTGTCGGCCGTCACCACCCCCAGCTCCTTCAAGGTCAGTCCATTCACTTCAAGGATGCAATCCATCCATCTTGCCCTTGGTCGGCCCCTCTTCCTTTTGCCTTCCACTTTCCCCAGCATAATTGTCTTCTCTAGGCTTTGCTGTCTCCTCATGATGTGGCCAAAGTACTTCAACTTTGTCTCTAGTATCCTTCCCTCCAGTGAGCAGTCGGGCTTTATTTCCTGGAGGATGGACTGGTGGATCTTCTCGCAGTCCAAGGCACTCTCAGAACTTTCTCCAACACCACAGTTCAAAAGCATTTATCTTTCTTCGCTCAGCCTTCCCTAAGGTCCAGCTCTCACATCTGTAGGTTACTACAGGGAATACCATGGCTTTGACTAGGCGGATCTTTGTTGCCTGTCTGATGTCTCTACTCTTTACTATTTTATCGAGACTGGACATTGCTCTCCTCCCAAGAAGTAAGCGTCTTCTGATTCATGGTATATATCAACCTTTTTAAAAAATTATTGTTGGGGACCACAGCTATAAGAAATCCTACACAAGGCAAGGAATTTAGAGGACAACCCTCTTAGTATATCCTAGTTTAAATAAGAAAAGTAAATACAGTTAATGCCAAAGTTGGTCCCAATAACATTGGTCCATTGATCGGAATTGCAGGGATCTAGGAAGTCCAGTTATAGTTACGATTCTTCACTTTTCTGTCATTTCAAAGACGGTTGTCATCTCTGTGCCATCATTGCTGTGTCCCTTACTTCTTCTAGCCTTCTTAAATTCTTTTGGTAGAGAACCAAATTAGGATGATGATGATGATGATTCAATGTATTGTCGAAGGCTTTCATGGCTGGAATCACTAGGTTCTTGTGGGTTTTTTCGGGCTATAGAGCCATGTTCTAGAGGCATTTCTCCTGACGTTTCGCCTGCATCTATGGCGAGCATCCTCAGAGGTTGTGAGGTCTGTTGGAAGTAGGAAAAATGGGTTTATATATCTGTGGAATGGGTGGGGTGGGGCAAAGAGCTCTTCCCTGCTGCAGTTAGGTGTGAATGGCAAGCATCACACCTAACTGCAGCAGGGAAGAGCTCCTTGCCCCACCCCAGCCATTCCACAGATATATAAATTTTTCCTACTTCCAACAGACCTTCTCAACCTCTGAGGATGCTCGCCATAGATGCAGGCGAAACGTCAGGAGAAATGCCTCTAGAACATGGCTCTATAGCCCGAAAAAACCCACAAGAACCTAATGATGATGATTGTTTATATCCCACTATTTCTCTCTTTCTCTTTCTCAAGGCACATTTGCATTTTATCTGGTTTAGTTCCATTTCATTTAGTAATAAAAATGAAAGACATATAATTGAATGCCTACATGCATAAAAATAACGCCTACATGTGGAAAATTAGTATATCATGGATGCTATGCTGAATTTTTGCCCCCTGCATATAATATTTCTATGGGAAGGGAGCTTTTATTTTGGCAACAATTCAGATGTACAGTGTGCGTTTACAAAATTGAATCGGTCCTCAGCGTGTAATCTTGAGACAGAAAGAACTCTCATTTTAATTTTACTTGCTTTCATATTTATGTGGATCAGATTTATCTACCTGTTATTTAAGTTTCATTATTGTACCTTTTTTTACAGAAAGACAAGATTCATCTGCTCATATGGCTAAGTCTGGAAAGTTCATTGATTTTCAAACAGCTAAACAGCGGCAAAATAACAGAAAGATTGCCAGTCAACAGAAGTAAGTGATATTAAATTGAACCACTACATGTAACTATGTTACATGTAGCATTTCAATACATTTTGTTATGTTACAAGTGCTATTTGTTTAACATAGTGGAATAAAACATTTGAATGTGCAATTAATGTGTATAAAATCTAAATTATTTTAATAAGTCACATCCAGTGGGAATATAAATGGAGATGTGTTTGCATGGTTCTAAGACTCAGGTGATATAATTCTGTCAAATGCCAGTTTATAAAAACAGAAAATATGTATCTGTATTTTGCTAGGTTTTTCCCCCTTTTTGTTTTGTGTAAAAGACAAAGCAATATTTCCCCTTAGAAATTAACAGATCCTTGAGTTTAGGAGCAGATCTGTTCAATGTTGATCTATCACACAGTCTTACTGAGAAGTGAAAAAAGGTGCCCCTTTTAATTTTAGTTTATTGGATAATTATATGACCAGGTTTGCAAGTCACTGTGTAGAATTTGCTTCCTGAAAGAAGTGTATCAATAAAAAGCACTACAAGTTTATTTCATGAATATTGAGTATAGCCTACCGTTACAAATATTTAACATATGCTTCAAGTAAATTTACACATAGCTTTTGAAATCTGTGGTGTTTAAAATCTACAGCTAAACATTTAAAATGGGAATGTGACAAATATGCTTTCAAAATGCAAGCATGCTATTGGTGCATCTGTCCGGGAGTTTTCATTTCTTGTTGAGCAAGTTCTTTGTAGCAAACCCACATTGTTCCATTTGCAATATATGTAACAGGACGCACAATGTATATGTCAGTGCCTAGAAAATAATATTTCTCATCCAGAATTCACTTTAATAACTCTCCTGATTTAAAGGATACTGGAATCAATAATATTTTAAAACTCTTTTTGTTTGTATGGCACTGAATATACATATTGTTTTTCATAGTACAACTAATTCCAGACCAGTTATATGTCTCTGTAATTTCACTTATTGACCATTTTGTTTTCTTGTGACATGTTTTCAAGGAAACGTAGTGCTGAACTCCTACGACTTATTGACCTGGACTTTTCAGTCAGCGTCTGCTTGCTGGATTTGCCTCCAGTAAATGAATATGACATGTATATCAGGAACTTTGGAAAAATAAATACAAAGCAGGTAAAGAGCAACTTACAATTCATTACATTTCTTATTGCTTTGTTCAATTAATTATTCAAGCCTGCAGTATGTTGTAGTCCAGCCTTTGATTTTGCCTTCACCTGATCTCTCTGGGGATTCTAGGCCTGTTAGTCAGCATGATTGTGCAAGGGGCCTCCTGGCCACCACAGATTCCTGGACCTCCAGATTCAACGCTGAGTCCAGGAGGACCCCCACACTGATACATGAATCACTGTTAGTGATCCAAAAAATACTAAAGAGATGCATAGGGTAGGGACTGCCATAAAACAGTTTAGAGATGCATATCTAATCCAATTACATATGATCTTTAAAGCCCTAAACAGCTCAGGTCCAGGCTATTTGGCTGACTGGGTTTCCTTGTACGAACTGCCTGAGTCCTGAGATTGTCGGGAGAGACCCTTCTCTCAGTCCCACCTCTATCTCAAGCACAGTTGGTGGGAACGAGAGAGCGGGCTTTTTTGGTGTCTGTCTCTCGACTCTGGAACTCTCTTCTTTCCATGGAAGCCAGAATAGTCCCCTCCCTGCTGTCCTTACAGCAGCAAGCTAAAACCTTTTTATTTAGGCAGGCATTTAAAGAAGATTTTAAAAGATCAAGTCAGGAGGTGCTGTGATTTTAGCTTTTAACACATTTTTAATTAGTTTTAAGGATTATGAAAATAATAATTGTAATAGTAATAGTTTATGTCCTGACTGAGTTTGTCGAATCAGGAATGGTTGGATAATATTATCCATTATTAATCATCAGATTTTATTTAACATCCTTAGACAAAGCACAACACAGTCAACAAAATACACTCTTTTTTTGTAATTGAGGCATCCGGGGTTCTATAGAGCTGAAGGTTCTATGGGATCAGAACCTTTAGGAGTGACTCACATTAATTCCAAACAAATATGAATTCAAAAAATTCTTTAAATATTGAATTAAGATAATAGTAATAAATTGAACATTGTGTGGAGACTATGCACACCAAGTGATGAATTGTCGATGTTTGTAGTTGACCTGAAATCTGAGCTAATAACTTCATTCTTCTCCTTTAGGCCTATTGTCAGTGGAATGAAGATAATTTGGATAGAGACATTCAGACTGAGGAAATAGAGACTCAAGAAAAGTGGACACAGCATCCTGGAGAAACTGCCCTTGTGTGTGGAGGTAATTAGCATAGATCCACTGTACATCAAACAGTGGTAATTAAATTTAACCTGACCCTGTTTCCTCTTTACTTAATTACTAAATCTTTCATAATTTTTACAGTGCAAAGCATAAATGTCCAAAAATTCCATGAAGCTTTCTGAGAAATGTTTTGTGGTACTTTGTTTCTTACATGTGATTTTGTATTTCACATCAGGTCTAAAAAGCACTAGTGATGTTTCTCCTCTTACACCAAAAATTGATTCCCAGAGATTAGCAAGTTTTCTTCGGTCAGCTTGTCAGGTATAGTTCTAAAACTATTTATTAATGATATAATAGCACAAAAATGGTAATAATAAACAAAGGGTTGTGTCTGGACTCTATGTAAAGCTGGTCTAGGATAGGTTAGTTGTAAGTTTCAACACCACCACTGTACATGTGCAGATGAAATAAGCTTTTTTCCTGTAACTTCAGAGATTAGAACACAAGCCAGTGGATTTGAATTACAAAAAAAAAAAAAAAAGACTTTCTAAATAAACATTAGAAAGAACTTTTTGGCCCTTATGGTCCCTTCCAAATCTTTTATTCTAATGGATCTATTCTAATTCTGTCTAAATCTTACTCTAGTGCATTGTGTGGAAATTCCTATATTATTTGAATATTTGAATTATAACTTGAGGGAATTGTATTTATGTATTTTGTGCCTCCTCTCTGCTTGTATTGGCCTTTGAAAGTGCAATGTTCAAGTACAGATTTTGAAAATATAATTTATTAACACTGCAGGGTAACAAAAGGAATATTCTTTTTCATTTCTTTAAATGATATGTTCAAAAGGTGATTGAAGTTCTCCTTGAGGAAGATCAAGTAGCAATACAACCCAGACGGAATTTAAGATCACGGCCCTCCAGTCTGTCTATTTCTGATAGATGTTTTCAGTTAAATACTGATCTGCCTTTCCTAAATGGTAAGTAATATTTCTTCTCCATTATAAGAACATACAAAGAAGGCCATAAGTAGGACCTGAATATAATTATCTGCTCATCTGCTGTTCCTTCACTGGATAATGAAAAATCTTAATTTTTAGTGGAAGATATGAAGTTGTATTGGCAGAACTTGTTTGTCTGGCCTTTTAAGTAAATTTTGATAAAAATTACTCCTGGTATTTTAGTCTTCTTCTATGAGATAGTATTGGGACACTGTTTTACATTGGCTGCAGACTCAGAAAATGATAGTGAGACTGCTGCTTAAACCATGACTTAGAGACCCTTCAGTATTTTTTCTGCTCTTTACCATATATTTTATCCACTCTCATTTCAGTTTACACCCTCCTTTAGATACCAAACACTGTTTTTCGCATACACAGAACTTAGCTGCATGCCCAGTTGACTTTGTTTTCCTAGTTTGTTGTGAAGCACTGAACGGAAATATACATTTCCTCCCAGTGTACTTTTTTTCTCTTCTCTTGAGTCACTTTGCGGGCATTTTTGCAAATCCTTCAGAATAGCTTAGTCCTTTGCTCTAGCCAGGGAAATTACCACTCAAATCAACAAAAGGGATCTGAGAGTGCCTTTCCCTCTTTTCTCCCCAATCAAAAACATTGCAATTAATTAGGTTAAAGATTTAAAATTAATTTTAATTTCAAATCTTTAACTTAATGTATGTTAACTGTTTGTTGTTCAAAGGCATTGAATAGATTCCATATGTACAGCCACCTTGAGTACCCTTCAGGGTGGAGAAAGGCAGGATACAAATAGAATAAATAAATAAATAATAGCATTAATCTCTCTTATCTTCTTAAGTCGAAAATGAGGCTTTGGGTGACTCTGTCAGAGAATGGTTCTATGTCTTTGGCCTTTGAGCATTTTATTTTTTTAAAAAAACTATAGGTCCAATGTTTTTCTTAGGTCGAAAAATATCGCACTTGCATATCTCTCAGGCTCAGAGGCAGGCTCTGCTTTCCGTCCATGGGCTACCTGAAAAATCAAGTGGCTTGCTACTGGACAGAAAATATATCATTTGCGTGTGGAATGTCTGGCAACCCTCCAGTCCTCAGAAATTATTATTCTGTGAATCACAGGTATATTTTAATTTTTTTACACTTGGGGACCATGAAAAACTATGTATAGTTCTGGTCAGAATTGATAGAGAACCTGAAATATGATCTGAAAGATGAGGGGGGGGGGGAATCATGTTCACAATATATGCCATACACAAATTAACAAGACAACGAAGCTCCTTTTTCTGCCCCCCCCCCAATTTTCTCTTCCATTTAGTTAGAGGTGTTTGATCAGCACTAGTACTGAGAAGTTGGTATATTAGGATGAAGCAGTACAGCCTTTCAGCTGTCATGCTGCAGCATTTTGTCTACAACAGTGGTTCCCAACCTGTAGTCCGTGGACTACCAGTGGTCTTCAAGAACTAAAATATGGTCCACAGCCTCACAGTTGCAATGAGAGCAACTGGTCTCATGGAACCCTCTTATAGTGCAAAGACTTATTAAATATGGCTTTCTGTGGGTGAACAGATGGCGACTACTGGATAGCATATGTTCTGTATCAGAAAATAGAGCTGATGTGGTATATCCAATACAATTTTCTGAATCAGCACTCCAAATAACCAAACCGAATCTAAAGATGACCAAAAACTGATTCATCACCCTTTTGGTACTAAGATTGGAGAGAGGTCTCTGGTCAAAGTGGTCGCTGGTCAAAAAACGATTGGGAACCACTGGTCTACAATGTATGATGCATTCAAGCTTCTTGTACAAAAGGGCAAGATTTGACTTTAGCCAAATGTACCATGGCCATGCACATAGCTGTGGCAAACAGGCAAAATTAACAGCAACTTTTTTCAGGATGCCTTTCAGAGCACAAATCAAGAGCAAAATAAAGAGAAAAGGGGAGAACAGGTCAACCTGTCTCATCAGCATATGTTAAAAAAAGCATAGAACTATTTATTTGACTACCAAAATCAAAAGTCAAGAAGAAATTAAATTAAACAAATCTTGACATTGGAAATACTGTTATTAAAAGTCAAGGTTCAAAAATAGTTAGTGATAATACAAACATTGTGGCACTAGATGGGCCAGTTAATACGTGTAATGTGATTACAGCTTCTAGGGGGGGAAAGCATAGCTTTGGAATGGGGAGGGATTTATGAGTCTTAGTGAAAAAAAAAGTGCAACAACATGATTTCCATGTTTATGATTCTGACATGATTTACCTACCATTTAGGTAACGTGCTGCTGCTTTAGCCCCAGTAAAGCTATTTTAGTATTTGCTGGGACAGTTGATGGTTCAGTGTTGGTATGGGACCTCAGAGAAGACTCCAGGATGCACTTCTCCATGAAAGTCAACGAAACAAATTGGACATTTCGATCTCCTACATTTTCTACTGGTTAGTTGGCATGACTTGCATAATTTAATCACCTCTCTGTTATAACTAGATTGGGGAGCGCTTCATTGTAATTGTAAAATTTCAATTCCACATCCATTCATTTTTGTCATTACACTGAAAAGGATGTGCTCTGCTTATTGTGCAGTAAAGGTTCATTTTCTGGATAAACCCGTGTACTGTTGTGGGCATCAAATTGTGCCGTTTTGTAAACCGCCATGAGTCGCCCTCGGGCTGAGAATGGCAGTATAGAAGCATAGTAAATAAATAAATAAATAAATAAATAAAGTTTACTGCAATAAATTTCAATAAGGCTGTCAACCCAAAGCTGGCTTCTATGGAATTTCACACTTGAACGCAATAAAAATTAGTACTTCTTAACAGTGGATATTAAAATTAAATTTATAGCAGAAACTTGCCAACACATGTATGTTTTGAGTTTCAGTCTCATTTTAACAACAACCTTAAATACTATTGTTAAAGGAGGAAGCTCTCTCCCCTCTGTATCCAGGCCTTTGTTTTGATGAATGACATTCTCTGGAGGCAAAATTATATTTTGCTCTTAGTACCTATTATTGAGAATTCACACAGTTTAAAATGGATTCTACATCACACTTTCTATTGAAATGGAGCCCCTGGTAGCACAGTGAGTTAAACCACTGAGCTGCTGAACTTGCTGACAGAAAGGTTGGCGGTTCGAATCCGGGGAGCGGGGTGAGCTTCCACTGTTAGCCCCAGATTCTGCCAACCTAGCAGTTCGAAAACATGCAAATGTGAGCAGATCGATAGGTACTGCTCCAGCAGGAAGGTAGCGGCGCTCCATGCAATCATGCCAGCCACATGACCTTGCTGCGTCTATGGACAAAGCCGGCTCTTCAGCTTAGAAATGAAGATGAGCACCCCCTCCCCAGAGTCGGATACAACTAGACTTAACGTCAAGGGGAAACCTTTACCTTTACTTTTCTATTTAAAAGACTGTTGATACCCGCATGGTGAACTTTTCTTGTTATCCAGACCAACTTTACCATTGAGCATAGTGAGGTAGTCAACCCTAGCAACAGACTACTAATGACATACAACATTAACAAATAATTTGTGATTCAAATTGCAATATTTTTACTGGTTGGAATTAGGAGATGAGTTTGAGGGACTTTTTGTCCTGGGGCCAAAATAACTTCTTTGTATTCTGTGCCGCTTAACTTAAGCATTGATAAATAAATGTCTCAGACTGATCAGAGAACATATTTAAAATGCAGCTTTTGAGAAATTAACATTTACCATAATCCTGAATTAAACAATTGGGGCTGAGTAGGTGACTGTGAACCGTTTTGGCTTATTGCTTAACTCTAGATGGAGTATTTGCCCCAATAAACCACACATGTCCTGTGCTGACGATTGAACCTATCTCAACATCTGTCTTCAAAGAGCAGAATTCTGGGCTTTCCTATCTCTCATTTCAAGAAGGTATGCAAACTACTTTCCAGAATCAACAAATGATCTATATGTATAGTCTGTAGGCCTTCCTTTGAGTCAGGACCTAGATATCTGCCTCACACCATGTCAGAGCATTCCTCCATCTAACTTAGTGTTGTTGATTCTCACTGGTTCTCTGTGGTTTCAGGTGAGAGGTTTTGCAATCAATATGAAAGTGCTGGCATTGAATCTTATTTCTTTTGTATACAAAACAAGTATTTTAGAGAAACTCGTCATGCTGTTAGTTTTAGAGATTTCCGTCATTTTTTTATTCTGTGGCATCTTTGAAGGGACCAGCCTGATAACGACTACTGTTTCATGGTTATCGTATATACTCTAGTATAAGCCAACCCAAATATAAGCCGAGGCACCTAATTTTACCACAAAAAACTGGGAAAACGTATTGACTCAAGTATAAGCTAGGGGTGGGAAATGCAGCAGCTACTGGTAAATTTCAAAATAAAAATAGATATCAATAAAATTACATTAATTGAGGCATCCGTAGGTTGAATGTTTTTGAATATTTACATAAAACTGTAATTTATGATAAGACAGTCCAACTCTGATTAAACCATTATTCTCACCTTCCTCAATGTAAATGTGCGTATGTATCCTTCCAACAATAATAAAGAGAGTAAAATAATAAATGTAATAAAAAGAATACTAATAGAGTTGAATAATAGAAATGTAATAATAACAATAATAATAATAATAATAGAGTACAATAATTAATGTAATAATAGAGTAAAAATAATGAATGTAAAAATAACAATAATAATAATAATAATAAAGTAAAATAATAAATGTAACGGCAATAATAGAGTAAAATTATGTAAATGTAATAATAAAAATAATCGAGTAAAATAATAAATGTAATTGTCATGCCTCCAGAAGCTATAATTTACTGTCTGTGCCTTTAAGGATCTGCGAGGGGGGCGGAGCTCAGCCTCGGCTCCTGCTAACTTTGGAATAGCAGTTATTTTTGTTAATTAGGATTTGTCAGTTAAGTGTTTAGCATTGGAAGAGAAGGAAGGTAGAAGGTGCACAGAAATTCACATCGCATCTGAGCTGTATATAGTCAAACAACATGTCACGTCAGAACTGTGTTAATATAAAGTCACGTCAGAGTCATATATAGTATAATAAAGAAACAGTAGTCATATAGTAACCATTAGTAACAAAGAAGATCAAAGAATAGAACTGCATAAACTTAAAAGATTTCCTTTCCCCACAGAGATTTTATTGTGGCAGCCAGGGGAAAGGAAGTCCTGCTTGTCTATCAATAAAATGTTGTTTTAATTCATGAAATACAGCCTCCGATCTGTCTGTGTCACAGCACCTTCCAATTCATAGTAAACACAGAGGCAGAACAGTAATAATAAAACAGAGTAAAATAATAAATGTAATAATAAAAATAGAGTAAAATAATAAATGTAATAATAACAATAACAGAGAATAATAATAATAATAGAGTAATATAATGTCAATGTAATAATAATAAATATAGTAAAATTTAATAATAATAATAATAACAGAGAAAAATAATAAATGTAATAAAAGCAACAGCAACAACAAAGTAAAATAATAAATAACCTTGTCTCAAGTATAAGCTTAAGGGGGCTTTTTCAGCCTAAAAAGGGCTGAAAAACTCAGCTTATTCTCAAGTATATTTGGCACATATTTTTGTTTGCCACTATATAAGACTTTAAATGGTTTCCTTTTGCGAATTGGCTTCTGGGCTTTGATTGTTGGACAGGCAACATGTATTTAACAATACAATAAGGGAATATTCTCACAATTTTGGATAATGGCCTTAGACAATAGATGAGTCCGACCTGTCTTATGTAGATTAATTTTTAAATGTAAGATTACTTAAAAATACTCATCAGAATCTGTGCAGATACATAATTACTGAGCTACCCTTTTCTCCTACAGAAATGTTAGGGCTTTCTTTTCAGATTGCCTCAATGGATGAAAATGGGACTCTCACTCTGTGGGTGAGTATGGGCTTTTTATTTCTCAAACTATAACCCATTTTACTAATTGAATACTGATACACGGTGCACGGTATTTTCAAAACACTGGTTGTTTTGAACAGTGTGTATCATTTTATTGCAAAATGAACCACTCTGGCCTTCAAATAAAGGTTCAAACTAAAAGTTTGACCAATTGGAAAAAACACTCCTTTCTAATAATTAGGACATACATTTTATTTATAAGAGCAATTGATTAGTAACATGAGCATTTTGGGGTTGTTGTAGGTTTTTTCGGTCTATATGTCCATGGTCTAGAGGCATTTTCTCCTGACGTTTCGCCTGCATCTATGGCAAGCATCCTCAGAGGTAGTGAGGTCTGTTGGAAGTAGGAAAATGGGTTTATATATCTGTGGAATGACCAGGGTGGGACAAAGGACTTTTGTCTGCTGGAGCTAGGTGAGAATATTTCAACTGACCACCTTGACCACCAAACATGAATCAAAGAACATGAAATGCACTGCAGACTACTTCAACCAGAGAAGTCAGCCATAGCAGAGCACCTGATGAACCAACCTGGACACAGCATATTATTTGAGAACACAGAAATGCTGGACCACTCTCACAACCACCATGTCAGACTACACAGAGAAGCCATTGAAATCCACAAGCATGTGGACAATTTCAACAGAAAGGAAGAAACCATGAAAATGAACAAAATCTGGCTACCAGTATTAAAAAACTCAAAAGTTACAACAGCAAAACAACAGAGAGTAAACAATCAGGCACATCAAATCACCTCTCAAAAAAAAGATTCCCCCAGGCACTTCCAAGCCATTAAATGCTAATCAAGGTGGTAAGTTGAAACATTCACACCTAGTTCCAGCAGACAAAAGTCCTTTGCCCACCCTGGTCTTTCCACAGATATATAAACCCATTTTCCTACTTCCAACTGACCTCACTACCTCTGAGGATGCTTGCCATAGATGCAGGCGAAACATCAGGAGAAAATGCCTCTAGACCATGGCCATATAGCCCGAAAAAACCTACAACAACCCAGTGATTCCGGCCATGAAAGCCTTCGACAATACAATGAGCATTTTTGTTTTGTACCATTGAAAACAGTAGCAATGTTTTGCCAAAACACAATGTAATCGTCAGCTGAGTTAAACAATGTTATGTTGGATTTTTCCCAGTTGTGTTTAAAAGTAGCACATTTGTTTTTGTGGCCCCAAGCACAATACTCACTGCATCACTACTTTTACAACTGGAAACTCTGCATAAACCTGAACTGTAGGTGTCCCATGACTGCAGCCTCTTTTGCAGTAGTGAAATTACACTACTGGGTACAGATCCCAGGGCTTAGTTTTGTACTATCCTACTTTAAAACCTGGGTTTTCAAGAACAAATAACCCATTCTGAACAGTTGTTATTAGGCTTCTCATAAAAAAGAGGGCTTTCAGAAATGTTTACTGAGACAACAGGCAGGCAAAAATGCAGTACAATGGGAAAGAAAAACTAGCTTAAGGACATTGGGGCAGTGCAAGGGGGTTGTTTGCAATGTAAACGTTCTTTGGAAAAGCAGCAATAAAGGAATTACAACCAGCATAATACAGACTTTGATTGTGCCAAATTGCAATGTAGGGAAGGCCCTACTGAGGAGGTCTGAAAAGATTTAATACAAAGAGAGTTTACAGTTTATTTGCAATTATGTTGCTTTTGTTATTAATTTGTACTATTTTCTAGGTAGTGGTTGAACTTCAAAAGGGGGATTTGGCTGGCTCACAAAGTGATTTAGGTAAGTTAAACTAATTAATTATAGTTCCTACTGTTCATTTAATGAAAAAGCGAGAAGCGTGTTTTTGAGAGAAAAGCTCAAGACTGAAACTCTTTTGGACAATCTGTTGTGCCATTGTAAATAATACTTTGGTGAAGCATTGAAACAGTAATATTGGAATAACAATTCTGTACGCACAGTCCCTCCAGGCATTTATATTGTATACTCTTCTCTTTGACATCTAGCTCAAATGTGATATTCACTTATAATTGTGCTGACCATTTGGTATTTACTTTGCTAAGCTGGTAGTAGCAGTCATTACAATCCAGTTTTATTTCTTTCAGGCTTAATTCCTGGTGGGAAAATAAAGTTGGTCCATAGCTCTACTGTGCAGCTGAACTGCAGGTAAAAATGACATATAGTTTTTTACATTCATGTCTACTGCTGCTTGTATCTCCATGTTTAGTGTTCTTTGCCTTGTTAGTGCTGTTGACAAGGGTTCACTTGACCAAAGCCTGCATTTATCCCACCAAATAAAATCTGCTTATGTTGTATATGTGCCCAATGCATGTAACAGGTAAGCAACTTATAATTCTCAATCCAACCTGGAGAGCAGGCCAAATTGTCCACTATTGTTACCAAATTAATGACTTGCTTAGGAGAAGAAAACCAATTGATTCCTGCAATAGTAGTAGTAGTAATCATAATAATAATTTTTTTCAAAAAAACAACTTTATTTATATTCCGCCCTCTCTCCCCAGGGCACTCAGGGCGGATTCCAACATACAAAGGCAAACATTCAATGCCACCATAGAACCAACAAGTACTGACATAATTCCAGAAAAACCCCACATATGAAAACAACATTAGAACCTAACATCACTAAATTAAACAAAACGTAATCAAACAAAAATTATATAATAACAAATTCTGAACATAAAACATCCACATTGATTTACAAAAGCCAGCTAAAGTTCACGAAGTTATGTAGGTTGGTTGTGTGGCCAATGATGGTAACTGGGCTAATATGGACTAACAGAGCCTGCATACAATAATAGTTCTCAATCAGAGATCTGGTAGTGGTCTTTCATTGTCTAATCCTCCTCTTCTCCTTATGCTTTTGAATAAAAGTATGTCTTCAGTCGTTTTCTGAAGGAGAGGAGGGAGTTCCTTATTTCTTTAGGGAGGGAGTTCCAGAGGTGGATAACTGTTAAGCAGGAAACTGAATAAGGAAATAGGATTGTTAAGTGGCTGGAACATGCTATGCTATTGCATCATGTCATAAATTTCACTTATTTATATTTACTTCTGTCTTTTACATTTTTCCAGCCTCTCTCCAAAAGATATGTTCATGGGAGTACCCCAAACACTGAACATTAAATTTCTGCCTTCAAATCCGAATCACTTTGTTGTTGGAACAGACGTTGTGAGTATTATTGCAGCTTTAATTTCTCTTTTGTCTCCTTTCCTTTCTTAACTGTGAAGAACTGTGAAGAACATTTTTTAAAACGGTATCATCTCTGAAAGTATGCACGTAGAAGCGTCTGTTACACATTTCTGCATTTTAGAGTCTGAATTAAACCAGTAGTTCTCTATAAAATATTCTTCAATTTTGTTCAATAGAGCTATTGTTCAATAGATAAGAGATTTTTTTCTTATTTGTCTTCCTCTTCTTCCTCTTTCTTTAAATCACAGGCCGTCGTGAGTCACGGTACGAGGCATGAATTAAAAGTACCTCCCAAGTGGTTCAAACCTCAGCAGGGAGGACCAAGATCAAGCAGAGTCAACGCAATTGACTTCTCCCCTTTTGGAAAGCCAATATTTTTGGTATGGATGCCCTAATACAATTATTGATAGGAATTACCAAGAATGCATATTGTAGCTAAATGTATCTGGAAATGGGTTGTGAGTTTTGTGTTCACACACACATACTCTGTGAGGGATAAGCTGATGCAGTTCAGTAGCCAGTCCTGGAAGTTGTGTAATCTCAAAATCACTGATTGTGTGACTCACAATTTCATTCTGTTTTGTTATAGACACAATTTTTCAAATCTTGGTATTGGCAGATGTTAAGTTGATTAATTATCTAGGAGATAATTTAGAACAAGATTACTAGTGTTGTCTTTTAATGCTTCACTCAACTACAGAAGTTAGAAAGAGACAAAAGTCGTGTTGTAGAACAGGCATAGCAAACGTCAGTCCTTTCTCCAGGTGTTTTGGACTTCAACTCCCACAATCAGCTGTTAGGAATTGTGGGAGTTGAAGTCCAGAACACCTGACTGTGTGTGTGTGTGTGTTGGGGGGGGGGGGTTGTTGCCAATACCTGCAGTAGAATCATAGAATGGCAGAATTAGAAGAGACGACAAGGGGCTTCCTACCCACTACCATGCAGGAATGTGAAAAAAAACAAACAAATATATTAAAAACTTTAAAAGTGCAAACCACCAATGTATAATATAGCCATATTCCAAAATAGTGCCAACCTTGTATTTTTATTACCAGGTGATGTAGATAGTAAGGCAATGGCAGACAGAGAAAAGGTAGAACATTGCAGGATGCAGGTGTATTTTGAAATCCATCTGGGTAGTTGTTACATGTTGCAAGTGATGTGTGTCCCCTTTAGAAGTATTTGTTTGATGTTTTAATCAGTTCAAGGATTACCTGAGTTGATGAACTGTGTGGGATTGCAGTTGGATTTATATGGTTTCTTTTTATAATGACAGAACTTCTTGTTTAATTATGTTTTCAGGTGGGATGTTCAGATGGGAGTATAAGATTGCATCAAATGACTTCTGAGCTTCCACTCATGCAGTGGAACAACAGCACCTCGGGGAAGCCAATCATTGCCCTCCAATGGGCCCTGACTAGGCCAGCTGTGTTTTTTGTTTTGGACGCAACATCAGTTGTTTACATCTGGGATCTGCTGGAAAATGACTTGTCGCCGGTAGCAAAACAGCCTATCTGGTCAGATATGTAAGTCTATAACACACATTTTCAATTGAAACTCTTTGGAATTGGCACACATGAAAGTTGCTAAATTTCAGCTTTTAACCCTGGCCAACCTCCTATTTCCATAATGTGCACTAATACAATGATACAGGTAATCACCATATTGGGACCAAAAATGACATTCCACATTTTCCTCACAGTGCTGGATAATTCAATATGTTTTACTCTTCCAGCTAAGTTTAATTACCATTTTGTATTTGGGCCCCATTCTGATTCCTGCTTTTAGCATCTTGGAATAGAATAAGTTAGATACTATTCTATTCTGATTTGTGTGTGTGTATGTGTCAGAAGCAACTTGAGAAACTGCAAGTCGCCTCTGGTGTGAGAGAATTGGCCATCTGCAAGAGCGTTGCCCAGGGGATTCCCGGATGTTTTACCATCCTGTGGGAGGCTTCTTTCATGTCTTTGTATGAGAAGCTGGAGCTGATAAACCACTGATCTTTCGGTCAGCAGTCCTGCCAGCGCAAGGATTTAACCCATTGCACCACATGAAGCTCCATTCTGTTCTTTAAGCTGCTAAGTTTGCTTGGGATCTAAGTTTGCTTGGCATAGTGGCCAAGAGATGCATAAATTGTTTAGAAAACCCTATTTCTAAATCCCTCTGCTGCCACAAATTAGGTTTCCTAAACAGGTTATGTCTTTTAGCCTAAGCTGCCTCCCCCATCCACAAAATGGGGATAGATATAATGAGATGATGTTTTCCTTTGAACACAGTCAGTTCTTGCTATTCATGAGAGATTGTTTTCAGGACTCCCTTGCTATTTCACCTTTTCCTCAGACAAACCAAGCACTTTGAGGCTTTTCTCGAAGGCATTTGGAGGCTTTTCTAGTGTTCTCTTCTTTCCATCCCTTTATTAAACCAAAACACTTTCCCCTCCACAGGGTTATAACTATGGCTGTTCTGGGTGAGCCTGAAAAACCTAATGGTCTCCTCGGGATTGCACTGGCCAAAGAATCTGGAACAATTGACATTAAGTATGTAAAGAAGAAATGGGCGCTGCCTCAACCGGAGGAGTCTGAGAAATTAAACTTACGATTGCAGCAAACCTTGTAAAATCCAAACAAATGCCTTTCTCTGAATACACAAATATGACACTGATTTTGGATGTATTTATTAATATTTGGATTTTAACCTAACATCAATTTCATATTTTAATTCATATTTTGTAAAACAAATGTGTGTATATATATAGCATATGTATATATATTTAAGAATCAACACAGTATTTGACATATTGAATATTTTTTCAGACACAAAGCTGAACAAATATATATGAAATCATACCATCAAAGGAAGATGTACAGTATGCTTATATTTAGTTCAAAAATGTATTTACTTTACATGTGCTACATAAATCTTTATATTTTGTAATAAATTCCTGAATATATGTCCCCATAAAATTTTGAGTACCTGTTTTTAAATGTTATATAAGAAAAACATTTGATTTCTTTATGTTTACCATTCAAATTTTTATAATACCAGAAGATCTAGGAAATGCAAGTCTTCTCCTTGCTTTTGAATTACTCATACTTGTAGCAGTTTGACTTCTGTGAACAATTAATTTGCTGACAATTTGGTCTGTAGGTTTTTTTTTAAAAGAGTAGGATCATCTGTAGCTCAGCCTCTATTATAGATCCCTTTTCTGGCTCTGCAGTAGGTGATGTATAAGAAAGTATGTGTCGAGTCCCAATATCAAGGCTGAGGTTTAATTAAACAAAAGCAAGGTAAGCCGGAACTATATGTTTCATTTCTAAAGAAAACTAAAGGCTTTCAAGGTGTGACTGAAATAACAGAATTGTAACACTCAAATGGAGTAATGATGAGCACCGCCGAGGTCAAGAGTCCTATTAATGAATACAAGCAGAGTACTACAGAAAAAAATAATGAAGAGTGGAGAATCCCACTGGCAACAAAGATCCCTAGTTAAAGCAATGGTATTCCCCGTAGTAACCTATGGATGCGAAAGCTGGACCGTAATTAAGGAAGATAGATGCTTTTGAACTGTGGTGTTGGAGGAAAATTCTGAGAGTGCCTTGGACTGCAGAAAGATCAAACCAGTCTATACTCCAGGAAATAATACCTGACTGCTCACTGGAGGGAAGGATGTTAGAGGCAAAGGTGAAGTACTTTGGCCACATAATGAGAAGACAGGAAAACTTGGAGAAGATAATGATGGTGGGGGAAATGGAAGAAGAAAGGAAGAGGGGCTGACCAAGGACAAGATGGATGGAAGGTATCCTTGAAGTGACTGGCTTGACCTTGAAGGAGCTGGGGGTGGCCATGGCTGACAGGGAGCTCTGGTGTGGGCTGGTCCATGATCACGAAGAGTCGGAAGCAACTGAACGAATAAACAACAAACTACAGAGGCAATGTTGCACTCCAAGGCCAGGAACCACCTCTGTACTTAAAACACACTCCAGTCCAAGGTAAAATAGCAAAGCAGTGTATTAAAGAATATATATGAAAAGCAATTCAGTAAAATAGTATAAACCAGAGTCCAAATATCAGGAATAATCCACAGAAATCAAAATACAGGAGTAGCATTAAAAACCAGGAATCCAAAAGCAGAATAAATCCAAAACATGAAATTCAGGAACAGTCCTCAAAACTAGGAATCGTGAAGCATGAAGAAAAGGAAGCATAGAACATGGAATTAGAAATCCTGTGACTTGACCGTAGATCTTTACTCAACACCAGTGTTGCCTCTCTATTGCCTCCGGGCTATAGAGAGAAAATCATGCCGTGGGAAATAAGCATCTTGACCTTTGTACTCTCTCTTGAGAAGCCCTATGTTGACAAAATGTAAATCTCTGATCTAACTACTCATTAAATTGTCCATCTGGACTTTCATTGCCAACCTCTGAGCTCGGATGTGCTGCTGACCTTGCTTTTCTAGTGAACTGCCTTTCAGGAATGTGACCTTCAGACACAGACTGCTCCTTTTCCAAGGCTTAAAATCTCTTGCTGGTTCCTCTGCTGGTTTGCAGACTCGGAATCCTCAGTGTCATCAGAATGACTAACAGGCCCAGAATCCCCAGAGAAATCAGGGGCAGACACAATCAAATGCTGAACTACAATAGCCAGGTCAGGGACCAAAACAAACAATAGCCAAGGTTGCCTTCCAAGAGTTGGATGTCAAAAATTCAATTATCAGGGTTCATAAAGACCAAGAATCTAGGGGTACAAACCGAAGTCAGAGGTCAGAAGTCAAGCCAGATAATCAGGACTACAAACTATCAGGACTACAAACTGAAGTCAGTTTGGAAGTCAGAGCCAGAAATTCAGGATACAGACAGGGTCCAAAACAAGATTGCAAGAACCAAGGGCAGAATCCAGAAATCTAACCCAGTGGCAGCAGAACAGAGGTCTAGGATAAAGACCTGAAGTTATCTGCTACAAAGAACTATTCTTTTCCAGGCTGTTTTATCACAAGTTCTCAGTTGCTGCCTGTTTCAGTAAGCCTTTACAGATAATAACTGGAGACTGTGGGCCCTTCCATGTTCCAAAGGTTGAGCAACCCTTCCCAAGCTTGCTGGAATCCTGGGAAGAATCCTGCTCTGCTGGAGGCCTGGCCCAACAGATGCTAAGCCAGACCAAACAAAATGCTGTCAATGACAGTATGAAATGCAAAGTATCTATGTTATTTTCTGAAATGCATAGTTCTTGGTAAAAAGTGGGTATGGCGTAGAACAGTCATTCTGGGGAACATTGGCTCTCAAAACTTCTCCATCACATATAAAATACTTTAGAGGAACGACTACAGTGACAGCAAAGAAGAATAGAGAAAGCAATTGCAATCATCTCACTAGAATCATCTTGCTGTTGAACATTTTCCCTGAGAATATTCCTCCAAAATTCAAAATGGTAAGGCCTTCACTCTACTGGTTTATAGTGCTCAAGGGAAAAGAAATATATGGAGGAGAAGCACAGAATGAGATATAGGGATTTCAAGACATTACAGTTACAGTTTGTTTCATTTATTTGTAGTAAAGGTAAAGGTTTCCCTTTGAGATTAAGTCTAGTTGTGTCAGACTCTGGGGTGGTGGTGTTCCATCTCCATTTTTAAGCCAAAGAGCCAGCATTGTCTATAGATACCCCCAAGGTCATGTGGCCAGCATAACTGCATGGAGTGCCATTACCTTCCTGTTGGAGCGGTACCTATTGATCTACTCACATTTGCATGTTTCGAACTGCTAGGTTGGCAGAAGTGGGGCTAATATTTGGAGTCTGACAGGATAAAAAACCCTAACGCACAAATAGAAACCTGTAGAATCGTACTTCTGTTAGTATATTTTAGCAATGATACCAAATGTCTTGTGACACCTTGAAGGCAGACAAATGAATTATGGCAAAAGGTTTTGTGTATGAATTCTGGTTGTCAGTAAATATACACACTGGTTTACAGGAGGAAAATGTAAAGATCACAGGCTCAAAAGTCAATAAAATGTGAATGATTAAGTCCTTGACATTTTTTGCCCAAGTCTCAGGTGTATACAAGAAAAGTTTACTCACTACTGACAACAGTACTTAAGTCATGACAAGCTACATAATATGTTTATCTGTGAAATGCTGATTTTAGTTATGTGGTGCTGAAAAAGCAGGGTTTTGAAGTAAATGCAATCAAGGCCAAGCCATGATTGGGATTAAAACCTACTCTCCTTATTCTTTGATAGGAAGTGTTGAGGATGAGGGAGGGAGGAACTTCATTAATGCATTTTCCCATCCACTTGATCCTGATTATTGTCTCTGCACTGCTAATAATTGTACAAAGAATTACTTTTTCCCACATTACACCATTGACGGCTGATCAGATTGACTGCAAGGAAAATTACAGGCAGCTTCCTAGGCCACCAGCAGAACACAAGACCTGACCAAAGGACATATGCATCCCATGTTACGTGATTTGCTTACATACATTGCATACTTAGTGAAAATACATCTGAAGCTTCGATGCTTGAAAAATCAGTGCAGTGACAACTCACAGCAGCAGTAAGTTATGGTTATTTAGCAATGCCAGGATTACTTTTGCAAAAAACAATAACATTCAGACTTAAAGAAATGTTCTGTGTAAGGCTGAAATACTTAATGGTCAGCTGTGGTATGAAACTGGCTTTCTGCAACAAACTAACAGGACTTTCACCTCTGAAATATTAATTCTCAGTGGGAGTTCTATTTAAATATTTTTTGCAGTCAAATTGTCCTGTCCACAAGAGGGCACCAAGCTATTGTTAGTTAACATTTGTGTAAGATTAGATACAGATTTATTTACATATTGCATAAATAGAGTATTAACGATTAAGATACCCAGAAAATGGTATCGTAACCTTTATGAGCCTTGTTTACATTTATCTATCTATCTATCTATCTATCTATCTATCTATCTATCTATCTATCTATCTATCTATCTATTTATTTATTTATTTATTTATTTATGGCATTTATATGCTGCCTTTCTCACCCCGAAGGGGACTCAGAGCGGCTTACAAGATATATATATATACATACAATTTTAGGATCTGTAGTTGGAAATGAAGGCACAAAACAACAACAAAGTGGAAATATTATCCTTTGCAGTTTCAAAAACTATTTAACTGCTAGTTTAAAATAATAGCTAGCCATTAGATAACAATTTATAATGACATAAATCTGTATATGTGAGTAATTCTAAAGCAAAGCTCTTGTTGTATATGCCTGCAAGTCATTTCCAAAATATAGCCAGTTGCTCTAAGCCAAACCTATCACAAAATTTTTCAAGGCAATATTTCTTAGAAGGATGGTTTTACATGATTGAGAATGGAGTCAATCCTTCTAGGGGTACATCTACACTGTAAAATTAATGCAGTTCGAGGCCACTTTAACTGTCATGGCTCTCAGTTCTATGGAATCCTGGGATTTGTAGTATGGTGAGCCACCATCACTCTGGCAAAGAAAGCTAAAGATCTGATAAAATCAGAACTTCCATGATTCCTTACCACTGAGCCATGGCACTAAATGTGGCATCAAACTGCACCACTTTGAGTCTCCTTTGTGGAGAGAAAAAGTGGGGTATAAATAAACTTAATTCTATTCTAGAATATAATTCTATTCTACTTGATTTGTCGTTGATCCACTCCTTTGGGCTTCACACAAATCTACCATTTGCCAAAATATACCATCCTGTGCTTTTCCATTTCTGGCCAAATAGCTTAACCATTGCTTTTTCCCATTGAGTACGAGGTCTGCCCAAAGGCCGCTTGTGGTCTCTTGGTATCCAGTTTGTTAGTTGCCATGTACATTGGTTGTCTTTTGTTTGTGCCATATGCCCTGCCCATCTTCTTTTTGCCTCATAGATGTTATTGACCACGTCAAGTAACCTGGTTCTTTGATGCAGTTCTT